AGTAGCTTCTGGCAACTTGGGCTGGCACCAACCGGGTACTGCTGAGGAAGCCCATGCTGCTGGAATCACTGGCTGGTACTAGAATATTTCTTGCCCCTTCCTCCCTTGGAAAATTCATGGGTCCTAGGAAGTTCATGGGTAAATCCTTGCTAGCATCTTGCCGTTGAGGAGTGACAAGCAATTCCTCTATGAGTTCTCAGGTCTGAGATCCAGAAACAAAAAAAAGTTAGCTGAACTCTAGTTGTGCAAGTGATGAGAGAGATAGCAAGTGAGCAGACCCCAGCATATCAGGGACACCTGTGGCACTCTTTTCTTACCCCAGTCTTCTACACAGACAGCAGCATGATGGGAAGATGTCATTTTTATTCAATGTTTTTAAACAAGTAAACATACAATATATTTATATTATATATATTAGATATTTACTGGTGGGATCTGAAAACTCGCACCAAACACTTCTATTTAAGGGTGATCAATTGCTTTAATTTTGGGTAGGAAGAAAATAATTAGTGTCACTGATTTGAAAAGGCAGTGTTCCCCTAAACCCTCCAAAGAGCAACACTGCAAGCAGCCCAAAATATTTCAGCAGGGACACAGCTGCTCCCCTGTTCTGATGGGAGTGCAGTAGCTGATGAGCACAGCAGAATCACACAGTTCCCTAGGGCAGTAAGTGCAGATCCCACTCACTTCCCCCACAAACCAGGACACCTAGGAATGGCTGATCACAGCTGCTGTTGTGGTTAAAAAGTAAGGGAGAGAAAAAAAAAATGAGATTAGGGCTAGAGCGTGAGCCTTACAGAAAACAGAAGCCTAGGATTTCAAGGGGCAGTTTGCAAGTAAAACCTTAGGTTACAGCTGCCTCAAAAGACCCTTTTTCTTGGAAACTTAATTGCAAAGATGGCTGTTGGTGATGGGAGGGTACCAGCACTTAAGGGATTTGATGTACATCTTAGTGCCTGCAGACTCCTTTTCACAGAGGTGCTGTGAGTCCAGGGCTAATGCATATTCCATTCTCCCTCAGACTTATTTAAATATGCATTATATCTTCCATTGGTGGCATTGATTTCCTTCTCATAGCAGCTGTGAGCATTGGCTGGAGTTCAGGGGGCACCTGGTCCCTGCAGGCTCCTTGGAAAGCAGCCATAGTGAGCCAATTCACACTGAAAACGGGCCCTGCAGCCCAGGAAGAGGCTTTTCTTCTCCTGCAGCTGGAAGCTGTTCTATTGCCAGCTAATTATTTACTAGACTGCTCAGCAAGAGCAAGCCACCACACAGACTTAGGGAGTCCAGTATGTGGTAAACTCAAGCCAGCCTTTTAAAACAGCAAAGGAATCTGTTGGGATACTGCTGCTTCATGGTACAGACAGACTGAGCTTGGGTCCGCAACATCTCTTGTGGAACCTGAGGGCTTTGGAGGGGAAGGGAACTGTGGTTTTGACTTCCCTTGGGTTTCCAGACAAGTGCCTTGGGGAAGGGAAGAGCTATACTGGAGTTTTGCCACCTACCTCCTGGTAATGACTGCAGGCAGCAATTCACATTCCGGACTAGCAGTCCACACAACTGCCAACCTCTCCCCACAGAGACTTTGAGCAATTGGGGATGAAAAGGATGGGGCCATTTGCCTGCAGGCTGAGCTGCTCCTATGGAACATGATTCCCTGCTTTGACCTTCCCTAGCAGACTTTGCCTCAAACTTTACCCAGAAGTCCTTTTTATCAGCCCAAATAAAGGAGGAAAATTATTCAGGGCGTCTTAGATCTTAAATCAGCTGCAAGCAAATTAACTCCAGGCTCACAGTGCTGGGAAAGGAGGCAGCCAGAGCAGTGCTTCATGGCAAATATCCCATCAGAAGAGGATCTGTTAGCAACCACTTCTTTAGCAGATGATACATGCACTCAAATACAAGAGACCCATTCACCAGGCAAAACACTGATTTTCCAGGGCTGGGCTTGGCAATGCAGCACAAGCCACACTTCAGCACTACAGCATCAAGTCACTGATTGGATTGGCAGGGCAGGCGAGATGGAACCAGCAGCAAGAATCAAAAGGGAAGCCAACAGCAATACCTGCTGTCCCCTGAACTCGGTTCTTGGGCTGGCTTTGGGATTTCATTAAGAAAGCACTCACTTAATTTCAAGGGCAACAGGGCTATTAAAAGGGGCAACATTAGCCAAGAGGACACTGCATTACTTCACACAAAAGAACTCAACACTGATGCACTGAATCTCAACAGGAGCCCTCCTCCCTTCCTCCCACTCCCTGATCCTGGGCAGCTGAAAATAGACCTTTGGCATTGCCACCTACTCCATGTTCAGCATCTAAGAGACAGCAATGAGGTTTGGGAGGCATCTTGCATCTGTTCTTTGCAGGGACTAGAAGAGACATGCACACAGGTCCTGGTCCCATTTCCTCACTTGGGATGGGGGAGGAGGAGGAGGAGGAGGGTGCCTCAGTGCATTAATTCTTCAAGATGGTTTCATATGCTTGGTAGATGTGCTGGGATACCTCAGGTGCTCGGCATTTCAGAGACAGCTGCAAAGAAAAAGGAGAAAAAAAAAAACAAAAAACAAACTACAATCCAGTCGCACTTTACACCCAGAGCTGTGGAGGCACAGGACCCCAGTCCCCACTCAGCCCCTACTTGCCAGCTGCAGTTAGGAACTGGGGTACAGGATCTGAGCTCCAGTGAAGGCTTCTGGGTGAGTAAAGAGGAGAATGCTGAAGACCAGGGGAGGGGGTAAGAAAGCAGGAAAAAGCCATCCAAAGCCTTAAAAAAGAGCAGGGTGTCACAGACATGCTGCAAAGTGCAACCTCTAATTATTCTGCTACTCAACCAGGCCTCGGCTTTTCTAAATCCAGACACAGCTCCCCCTCCTCACAGACCAGCCAACATTTCAAGCCATGAGGAGGCTGACCAATTTGAGAAACCCAAGTCACAAAACCAAGGTGAGATACTCAAAATAAACCAACTCCTAATTGGAGTAATTTCAGTGCATTGTTCCCCATCCACCTCCACCAGCCCTTATGGCAGGTTGAGAAGCAGAGCTCCCCTGCATGCAGCTTAGAGACAGAAGGTAGAAAGAGCAGTGGGTAAGAGACAGATGCACACTCATCTGTTTGGGGGGTTGAATCACTGGTTGTTATTCTGTTAGTCTCTGTAGGAGCTGACATTTTATATCATCTCAAACTGAAGCCAAAGACTTGGAGTTATTTTTCTGATGAGAGGATTTGAATTCAACCTTTCCCTCTTTGGCTTTACCTTTTAGGAAGTAGGTGAAGGGTAAGGGAATGGGGAACAAAATGCAGAACAGCTGCCAAGGACCATTTTATGGCTGGGTGAGCAAGGTAGCAAATGCAGAGGCAAAGGTTTGCAGAAGTTACTAATGCTTTAGGGTTAGCTTCTTTGGTAGTGCTTGGCTAAAGGGGTCAGAGGGCTAGTGCTCAGCACCGACTTGCCCTACAACAAAGAATGAAGTCACTAGCTGCTTTTGAAAGTGTGGGTCTTCTGGGTAGTGAAGCGGTTTTAAGAGCTGTTGTTCCTCTTTTCCTCCCACCGCCCTCCCTCAGTAGTACAGTCTACCACACAGCAGCAGCTCAATGCCACCCCATGCTGTGCAGGGAGTGCTGGAGGGAACAGAGGCACAAGGAAAATAAATTAAATGGAGTGGCAGGCAGTGGGAGAGTAAAAAAATACCAGTAGTGAAGTAGCGAGAAGGTAGCTGGAGATAGCCATAAAAAGAAAAAAAAAAAAAAAGTCTGCTAACCTCCAAATCCTGCAACATCAGGGCAGACCAGCGGTGGGCAGGTGGGCATGCAGCAACGAAACAGAGACCGGAATCAACACACAAAACTGAGCTCATTGTAATGCAACACAACAAAAGGCTGCAAGGGGAATGACTGGAACCTGTTTTACCTGGACTGGGCTGAAATGGGTCAAGGGGCTGGATAATCCTGAAACTGAGTCTGATGGCTTGACTGTCAGCATCTCAGACCAGAGGGGAGCAGGGCTAGTTGCTATTGTCTGGGGGAGGGCCTGCCTTTGCAGCTGCTGTTTGGCTCTACCATGAGGGACAAAACACATGGAGAGCGTTTAAATCTCCTTAGAATTCAACTTGTCAATTTAAGGAGAACCACAAGCATTTCCCTTAACTGAGTTACTGACCCTGTGGGTTACTATAGCTCAAGTAAAGGCACTTTTCCCACGATTTATCTGATTAGGCCATACAGCCCACTGAACAACTTAGCAGACACCAAGCTGGCTCAATCAGCCACTGTTCCCCTGTACTCTTTAGGGAATGATGTCTACAAGCAGAAATCAAGGGTAACAGATAGGAATAGGGAAGAAAAAAAAAAATCTCTTCTCCCAGCCTGTAACTCAGCCTAGCCTTATAAATCAGAGTAGAGAGGCCCTTTGCCCCAAAAGGCATTCTTTTCAGTATCAAGAGCAGAACCTCTTCTCATAAGTACTTGTGAAGAAGCAGGGGGAAGAGAACTCAGGTTATCCTTTCCTCCAGTTCAGTATGGATTTTCACCCAGCTTGGATATCCTTAGACCAGTCAATTACACCACTAGTTTCTGACACATTCAATTCATGCAATCCTGCTGTGCCTGGGGACTCCCACCACCAGAAGACTATTCACCAAAGGATGGGAACCCCGATTCACCTTTCTAAGCAGAAGGAGTTGAAGGGGGGGACCTTGTATTTTGTGGGTGCTATTACTGAAGAGAAGACTGGGAGAAGCAGGACTTACCGTGAAGCTGGGATTGCCTGGCTGTATTCGTAGCTCTGCCAAAACCCAGATACCGTTGGTCAGTTTGAGTGACTGGTAGAGCATATCTTGGCCCTCCACATTCCTCTTTGCTATGGTGAAGATGTTGCTACCTTGAAGCTTGTTGCTGACAGCATCTGTGCGGACACACATAGTTAATGTTCAAAACTGCTATCAAAGGGACTGCTGAAGAGACTGAATCAGGTTAATGCCAGGAGTAGCAAGAATCAGTTGTCTAGAAGACTTTAAGCTAGGCTTGTGTCACTTATGAAGATGAAAGTAATCCCAAAACAATAGGGCTGTGTGTATAAAGAAACTGGGGACCCCTGTCCCAAGTCACACATGAAGGGCCATTTCAAAGGGGGAGTCTTGGGTGAGAGGGCTTCAAAGGGACTCTTGGATCACATACAGCCTGCAGGCCATCCTCTGGGAACCCCCAACTTTGAATTCAATGTAGTCAGTTTAAAAAACAAAAAACCAAAACCATCAACCACTACTACCAAGACCCAAATGCAGAATAGTTTGTTCTGCAACATGTGCAGGGCTCCCAGCATGTGGCATTAAGTTGAAACTGCAGGTGCCCCTGCCCTTCCACTTGCCTGTAAGCCAGCCCTGCCTCAAAAAAACCCACCCTGTTTTCTCATCTGCAAAAAAAGTCCAAGCAAATCCACAGCACTCCTGCATACAAAGGATATGTTTATGCATTTATGCAGAGACTTGCCAGAAAGGGTGAGACTATCATCACTTCCTTCCCCTGTAGTTGATACCAATGTCTTATCAACAACTCCTCAAAACAGAGGGCCGACTCCATTTAAAGAGTACAGTCTTTAGGCAATTCCAAGAGCAGTTCATTTCCATTAAGCTACCAAGTGGCAGTCACTTGATCATTTCTGTTCCCATATGATTTGGAATCAGTGACCCAGAGGTGAAGCAGCCTGCATTGTTACCCATTTTCTGAACTACTCAATCTCCCCTACATTTTTATTTCTTAAAGAGGTCCAGTACAGATTTTCCAAAGTGGTTGCCCTGGAACAGAACAGAGACACGCCAACTGGGCCTGCATTGGTCTTTCACTCTTGGCTTGAGCTGAGCTGTGCATCATTACTGGCATAGGACCCTGGAGAGAAGACAACAGCAACACCACCATCCAGTCAAGGAAGCCGCAGTGAGTTGGAAACAAGAGGATAGATGTGGGAGAATAGAAACTCACTTTGATTACACCATAGGAATTGATCTGATCCAGTGCTGATGAACAGCAAGAAGCAAAATCTGAGAAGCAATTAAGTCTCTGCTTTGGCACACAAGAAAGAGGACTGTATTACGCAGCACAGGTGGTCTGGATGGTAGGGGTTGGTCTAAGTTATGCTACCAACTAAGCTGCAGTTAAGATCTCTTTTGTCACAAACACTCTTACAACGTGACGTTTGTGAGGAATGATGTGGGTTTTCTATAGGAAAATATGTCGAATTTGAAAGGCTAGAGAAGTTTCTACACTGGGTAGGGCAACTAAGACAGATGTAGAAGCTTAAGGGGAGCTGCAGGGGAATGAAGCATTTGATGATTTACAGGCATGGGTGGGGAGGGAAAGGAAAGGAGGTGTTTTGTCACACTCTACAGAGAGCAGTGTTTGGGGCCATGTAAAGGAATTCTTGGGATATTCTGAAATAGGAAGCAGCATCTAGCAGTCCTGCAGCCTTTGGGAAGGTTCATTCCCTATGAAAAGGGAGCATGAAGACCAGTCTCTACATTGATTTAACTCTAAAAACCACTGCTTGGTGTTTTGGAAAGATTCCAACACCACATGCCCCAATTGCTGCCACTGATCAGATACCAAAGCTTAACATTATCCTTTGGTAGGATAGCTCAGCTGCAATGCCACTATCTTTGGTCTGTGACTGATGCCTTGTTGGAAGAACAGGTACCCCTCTAAGGGCAAAATGCCCCAGACTGGAATCTCCACAATAACCATAATGGACTTCGTCTTTCTTGAATCCAAGAAAAGAAAAAAAACAGGCCATGCAGTGACAATCAAAGTAGCCTGTTAGTGTCTAGTGATAGGAAGGTTTGGGGAGGGCTTTGTTCTAATTTGGAATCTAAACTAAAGCAGAGCTAAGGAAATTAAGTGAGCATTGTTCTAAATGCCTCTATTCCCAGGCAGTTGCCCAAGTCTATGAGAGGACAGAGATTACTCTGTAGCTGTGGGTTTCTAGACTGACGTTATGAACTGACACTGCAAGCATGCACCTCAGCCAGTGCTTTCTGTTCTGCAAAATCTCTCAGCATTCTCTCTGGGTACAAGTAGAAAACAAGTTCATGGGAATAATCTATAATCTTTAAGCAGCAGTTACAGGACTAGATAGCTGTGTAATAGGCCAATACCAAGATGAAACCAAGGAAATAATTACAGGTGCTCTGGTGACATCCCAGACAGCAGTGCCAACCCCCACCTAGCAAACACAATCCCATCTGCTATGCATGGGAAAGTTAGCATTTCAGTTAAACCAAGAACCATTTGTCCACAGGAGTATTTGCAGAGAGAGTACTTTGGTGAAAGAGACAATACAGGAGCCCTCAGCTAGGCCAACTGGTCTGGATTCCATGGGGACTATATGAAGCAGTTATTGTCTTAATCCTCACTAGATTAATCCCAACATTGAACCATGGAACAGATGACCCTGAACTCACCTGCATTGAGAGGACACTCTTTAATCTGGAATTGGGCTTCATTCTCATTAGGAATGTCCTTCCAGGTGGCCAGGAACATCTGTCTCTCTGGAGGGGAGACAGAGGAAGATGTGATGTAAAGCTAAAGGATTAGCCACCCGATCTGCACAAACCTCAAGAGCAGTATGCATGCAGAGCCCCCCCGCCCCGCAACCTTCCAGCAACCTAGGAGTTTAGCACCTTATTTTAAACTAATTTCACTAATAAGCAAAAACAGATAAGTTTCCAACAATGCTCTGTACAACAGAAGAACTACTGCTGTGTTCAGCACTTATCTATTGCAATATCACTAAGTTTTTCAGCCTGGTTGTTGCAGCTAAGTTTAGGCAGGAACATTAAAAAAATTAGATGCAACTGTTGCCAGGAACACAGACGACTCAAGGGTTTAGAGAACAATACAAATGGGAATTGGTTCCAGTGATGTTCAGCAAATGAACTGTATCTTTGCAAGCTTGGCTGCTGACAGATACAGGCTCAAAGTAGAAATAGGCAACAGGAATTAACAGCACAAGTAAAAGGGCCATTAGTATCCCCCTGCAGATATGTTCAGGCCAATGTTAACTTGACCTTGATGCCCAATGCTATGCTCAGTGTACATACCATGGGCATGGCATCTATCCCCATCATTCCCAAGCGGTGTAAACCACAGAATTAGAAGCATCACACTAAGGATTTAGATTTAACCACAGTGTGCCACCTATTGACCATTGACAGGATTACACCTGTATAGGCAACCCTTCAGTACCTCCCCTTTCCCTCACCCCACCCTCACCATGGCTGCTGCTTCTGCTATTCCAGGCTAGAAAAATTCCATCAACTCACCCATCTTCCCATCTTCCACAAAGAGGATATGCAGCGGGTACAAGGTGCTGAAGTAGAACACATCAATATTGTTCTTCACAGCAACCTGGTGTCAAGGAAGAGACTTAGGGACTTCAGCTTTTCCTCCCTGATCCGGAGCAGGAAGGCAGTTCACAGGGGAGCCCCTACATGGCAGGCACTGATACATATCAATGTTTAAGGCAAGACTAAGAGGTCTAAAAGTGAGCACAGAATCTGGACCTCCCTATTCTAATCCAAGCCTCTGATCTACCAGGCTAAAGTTGAAACAGGTAACACAGTAATTCCAAGTACTGCTTAACTCAAGAATAGTCAACATCAAACCTACTATAGCAAAGCCCTGTAATCAGTTTGCTTTTGGACCCCATGCCCTCCAAGAAGCTGGAGTAAAAGAGGACCAGATGGAACCACCTCCCCCTGGCCAAACAGAGCTAGCGTGCCCACCTACTAGCACTCTGTGAAGCTTTAAGAACTAATGCATTGGCCTTTTGACCTAGCCACATTGAGGAGGGTTCCCCCTCTGTAAGCAGAGAGGCTGGGCAGTATCTGAGCTGAACAGAAGATCAAAAAAAGTGTGGATCTTTTTTTCCCCTAGAAGGGCACAGCTACAAAGTAAATAATTCCTCTCTCCCAGAGCCTATCACACCTTTCAGTTTTCCTGTTTCTTCCTCCAAACACCTGCTATGGGGTTCAGCTCAAAGCAATATACAAAGGTTTTTGGACAGCCCGTTTTCCTCTTGTGCCCAGGTGCAATGGCTAGGTCTCCTCCTTGCTGATTCTGCTTTCTATAGATGATAGCTCACTAACTGGAGGCTCATCCACATTTTGGAGCATCCCTTGCTGCTTTGCACTGCCTCTGCCATACAGACTTACCTGGAGGTTGTTGAGAGGATCCATCTTCATGACCGAGCCAACTGTGTTCAGAGGGAGGGAGATTTCCACAGACTGGTTGGGAGCTAGAGGGGTGTGGACCTGAAGAGGAGCTGCTGGTGCCAGGCCGAAGCTGTAAGAACACCCAGAAGAGCAGGCAGGTTAGAGGCAAGAAGCAGCTGTTAGCACTGGGCTGCCTGTAAGCAGAGGCTACAGTTCCTGCAAGGTAGTGGGGGGAGGAGGACACTAGTGACTGTTCATACCCAAATTATCTCCTTGGATGGCACATGCAGCTTGTAGATACCTTTCCACCTCACTGATTTGGAAGCTACCTTTCCACCTCACCAACCTGATGTTTAACCTGGGCTCCAGTTATCTGCTGGGTGTACTAGGTACACTAATCCATCTTTCTGCTTACATTAAAACTCCTCTTGTCCCCACCAGCACTCACACATGTCCTCATTCCATCCATCACTATCCCATGTACCCTCAGTCCTCCCTAACATCAGGGTAGGTAGTTCCTCATGCCACATAGTGGATCAGCCACAGGTAACCTGTACTGTCATGCCTAACACAAACAACAGATTCTGATACCAACAAACCCTACAATTGGTTCCTGCTTAACCATGACAACCAGGACACTAGCTAAACACCAAGCAGGGGCCTTGTGCCTGTGACTCTAAGGCTTTGAGAATCTTATGCTTTCCATCCTTTCCTCTTGTAGCGAGAACCCTGCAGCCCCTAGACATAGTGCTGCCAACCTCTTATTCTTTTAGATACAAAAGATGGATTAAAAATGCCCAGGAGGAAGGGAGAATCTGTTCTTGAAGGAACAGCCTCTTCAGTCAACTTCTTAGAGGCTCAGGTTTACTCATCACCATAGCTGCTCAGAGAGAAGGATCATCATGTGAGGCTGTTCCTGCTTTTGTGGCCTATAAGCTATAAGTCTTCCTCTGGACTCTCAGCCACTTCCTTCTAGCTTCAGTCCAGTCTGATCTTCTGAACTCCAACATAAAATCTTAGAAGTTGGGCTTCATTAGATGAATGGACTGAGGTTGTAAAGCAAGAGGAATCCCAAGGTGTGGGTACCATCACTAGCATTATATTGGTATAAGAGAACAGTGGATAAACAATGAATACCCTTAAACCAGGGTAATTTGGCCCAATTTAGCAGGAAGTTTACACCTGATTCTTTCAGTGGTAAGTGACACACGTTAGTTACACCAACTTCTTCTCTTCACATCTGCCTATCCCTCTAGGGAAAGGAGGGCCATCAATACCCTGCACCATCTCCTTACATGCACGCTCCATTACTTCTGACAGGGCAAACTAAAGCCCTGGTATGGCATGCTGGGTTCACCTGGGAGATGCCAGTAATGACTAGGGTGGTTTCTATCCTAAATTCCAAGCCCAGCATGCCTGGTAAAATGCTGAACTAGCAAGGGACCCAGCTACTGGAAAAAAGGAATTTGAAACTGGCAGCAACAAACTCTGCAGAACTGTACTCCCTCAAGTCAATACGCCAACAGCAGCTTGCAGACTGTTCCTGTTGCATGCAGCCATGTCTTGCACTTAAAAAACCCCTAAAAAACAAAACTTCAAGCCTAAACTAGACAGGTTAATGGAATGGCCACACTGAAGCCCAACCCTAGCAAGTACTTTACCTGTTGCGGTTGAACTGGATGGCAAAGTCAGACATGACTTGCAGGGCCTTGTTAGTTAACAAGAGGTCCATGGAGATGGAGCCCACCTGACGGCTGAACGTACCAGAGATCTCCAGGCCCTTTGCCTTCATGGCTGGGAGCCAGACCTAGGTTATACGGAGACAACCCCCCCCAGTTTTACTGGATTTGAAACATGAGGTGAGGTCCCACTTTGACAGAGTTGTTGCGGACTGTGGGGAGGAGTCAAGCTATACTCCATGTCCTGCATGAACTCTTGAACATGGAGTTGCACCCTCCACCCCCATCACAATGGTACAGAGCTAGGCAGTGAAGTTCTCCCAAAAACTTGGAAGTACATTTATAGTAGAACATGGTGCATTTGAGCACAAAATTCTTCTGGTCCGTAAAAAGGAAAGTTTAACTGATAAATGGAGTGTAGCCTTCAAACTGTAGTCAGTTGCTTTCTATCCTGCTGAGATTTGTGAAGATGCGATTAACTAGACACAACACATTGAATGACTCATGGTTGTTCAGGGCTAGGACATGAACCCCTGCAGGTGGCCATCATCTACAGTCCCCAGCATTGGGTTTAGCTAGACTATGAGTACACAGAAACTGGCCTAAGGAGGCAAGTTCCCATCACCAAAGGCCTAACAAATGGCAATGTACACCAAGGTAAGGATTTATGTGACTGATACCTTATTGGACCAACTGCATGGTTGGAATAAAAAACAAAACAAAACAAAGAAACAAACCAACCCCCCACCCCCCAAAAAAACCTCAAACCCGTTAGACAAGCTTTTTCATACAGGACACTCTCCCCTTCATTCAAAAGCTTGCTTAAGTCTAAGCCTATCGCAATTGTGCTGTTGACCTAATAAAGTATAAATCACCCACAAAAATCCTTGCCTCATTTTCTGGACCAACACTACCACAACTGCTCTAAAAGACATTCTATTCAGGGCAACTCCAGCACCGGGATGGAAAGATGTCTGTCCCACCTGTGACTGTCTTGGGTACTCTCTCCATTACTAGATACACAAGACATCATTAGATACAACAGGCCCCTTCACCTGATCATTAAGGATCTACATTTGCCATACCCTCCCTTGACACATGCACCTTGTGTTATGTGGCAGCTCAAGACTTGAAGCTGGTCTCTTTATCCCATGCTACTGTGACAGTGCTGGGCCAATCTTTAAAATAGCAGCAGTATTAAACCCAACTGTTAGAGATGAGCTATATGGACCTAATGCATTGGCAGGAGCCAGTAGAAACTGTTCTACTCACACTTTTGGGTGCCACGTAGGATCCTGACAGAGTGCCCACTCCACCAGTCAGATCAAAAAGGTCTCCCAAGCCACTGCCAAGGGGTGCCCCAAGGTTTGCAGGCACCACAGTGCTGGGAGCTGCAAAGCCAGTGCCACCCATCTGTGTGAAACAAGGAAACAAGTTATATCAGGCATCAGGCAGAGAACAAGAGAATAAATGGAGTGTGCAAAATGTGACAGACAGGTAAACGTGGAAGGTGCACACTCACTGCAGGGCTGCCTCCCACATCGCTTCTCAACTGCAAAGAGACAAGAAACAGACGCATCACTTGAAGCAGAGGCAAAGGAACCCAACTCAGGGTGCCCAACACATGTGGCCATGAAACATTTCATGGAGGGCTTTGGAACAATTCCTGACCCACTTCGCCCAAGAGAACAGCCAGCCCCAGGGCTTATCCCAGGGATGCATCATTTTCAAGGTCTACTTCAGATCTACTTTTTAGCCAACATCTAACAAGCTAAGCTGGCACACGCATGAACCAAGAGCAAGAGACAGAGAAAGCCAGAAAGACCAGAGTTTAAAGGCAGCTGGGAGCTCATTTGCTACTATGGTTAGCACCAGTTTATGTAGACATCAGCTACTAATGAATCCTCTATTTAAAGTGGGTTTCTGGGTGTGGAATAACTCCCTCCCCTCCCCCCCAGTTAAGAGTTTATGGCTTCCAGTGGGAAACAGCACAGGGTAGGTGGGCAGCACTACATGAATGCAGGTCTGCCTGTCTTGAACCAGGCTAACTGAAGGAGTTTCTTCATACCCAGCTCCAGGCATGGCAGTAGGTGCAGAAACTCCACCTGCTCCTCTTTTGCTACTGTGAAGAGGGAAGGGGAGGTGAGGGGAGGACATGGATGTTGGCTAGGTATGTTCTAGAGGGCTAAAAAAAGGGCTGATCCATACCCCTTCAGACTCGTCCCCCATCTCCAAGCAGAAGCAGGCAAGGTGAAGAGGTGAGCCAGCCACATGCAGAGAGAGACAAGCCAGGAGAAAGAGACACAAATAGGAAGACAAGAAGGGGTGGAGGGAACAGAAGTTAGTTAAACAAAGCTGTTCAATACATCTGACAGACAGTGTCCACCTGGCAACTGTAGCACAAGGTGGGTGTCCAGACAGACCCCTTCTCCCCTAGGACATAGCACAGCACCACTGTGATGTTCTCCATTGGCTCATACTATTTACCTTTGCACCCTGCATCACTTCTCCACAGCAGAGCTCTTCCTCTAGTTTGGCTACACACTATCCCAACTCCATCCCTCCAAACTGACAGTTTGGATCCATTATTTCAGACAGATCTGCACCCCTTTTTCCAAGCACACCCATTATTTCATTGGCTACTGAACTTCACTCAAGTGCCACACCCACCATTAGATTTCCTTCCACGGTAAGGACCACTATCATGGTACCCACTTGCTAACAGAAAAGATGCAAGAAATTTTTATGCCAGACAAGCAACTAGGCCAAGTCAAGAGCTCACAGGCAGCTCCCACACCTAGTGGTCTTTCATGCCTCACACAGGCAGCATTACATTCATTACATTTGCTTCATGTCAGCTTAGTGTTCTAACTCTTCATGGAAGATTGGAGAACTGATTGAACTTCACATGCCTGACCAACATGCTGGCTGCCCCATCAGTGATTTCCAGTCCTTTTTTGAAAATGTGATGGTTAAAGGAACAGACCATGAAGTGCCTGCTGCTTCCCATTCAGTAGTACATGCTCCAAGTGCAAATGTCAGTCCCAGGATGGCAACTTCAGCTCCATCCCTGTGGCAGGTTAAAGCACATACAACTGGATGGAAGACAAAGCTCCCAATAGGACCCAAGTTAATTAAGGTAATTATATTCCAGATTCCAAACACTAGGAGGATGCTTCCTCCTATCTGGAGCAGCCTATGTTGTTAATAAAGCCTAGAAACACAAAGACCACATCTGTCAGACAGACTACCAACACCCCAGTTTACAGTCCATTAGAATGCAGTCAAGCAAAAACAATGACGTACCAGGCTGTCCAAGCCGCCTCCAAGGAGATCCACAGCACCCATCTGCACAGAAGATGCAGCAATAGGAGGCCCACTCACTGGTGGGCCCAGGTCAAGGTTCAGGAGATCACCCAGGAGATCACCCTGAGTTGGGATGACAGCTGGCTGTTCTGAAGGCTGAACTCCTGCTGGGGCTGCATCAGGGCTCTCTGCACTTTCACTCCTAGAGAAAGCAGCAAGAGGAAAGTGAAATGCATTACACCCCTTTCAGTTTCAACCTGATAAGCCAGAGGCCTCAGTGAAGAGGGTAAAATTCACTACAGCAGCCAAGGTCAATGAGCCACAGACATTCCCTCCCAACATAAGTCCCTATGCTTTAGAATCCATGAACTGATAAGGTAAGTGCCCAGAAGGGATCATGGGCTCAAAACAGATAGCTGCTTAATTCAGTCCATATCTACTACTTTTACCACATGCTCTCTCTCTTCCTAAGACAAAAGCATAGTATGCAACAGAAGGCAGAAGAAAATGTTTGGTACAACACTGCAGAAGCCAAGGCTTCAGTGTATCAGGTGATCTTGAGAGCATGGAGACAGTCTGGCCCCATAGTGAAACAAAAGTGTATTAAAAACATTGCTCACAGCCGGTTATCAAATACCAGGCCATTTCTAGGCACAGTGTGGAGAAGGCAAATATGATCTGGGAGGAAGAGACAGCCAGAAACAAGTAGAGACATCCTAGGTACTCACGACCCTGTTCGTGGAGGCAAGCTCTTGTGCACAACACCTCTGCTCCCCTCCACAAAGGCACTGGGGGGCTTGTGATAGACAGAAGCCAGAGTACCAATGTAACAGATCAGCTCATCCAGCAGGGTAGGCTCGATCAGGTCCGTCTCTTCTGAGATGAGGGGTTTCTCTGCCAACACCACTTCCTTGGCAGCCACAGGATCAGTGGAGAGCAGACGCCAGTAGATGTAGCCTCGGTCCCTTAGGTCTGGGTTATCAGAGTCCTTTGGGAAACATTTATGAACACAATTCACATGATAGCTGAACCTAGTGGGGGAAAGGTTTGGACTACTGCAGTGGCCTAGTCTTACAGCATCCCTCTAGGAAATCAAATGCCCAAATATAACCCCCAGCCATTAGGTATCTGGCGAGGGAAGAACAGAACACTTGATGACCAGCTCTGCTGTGCTTGTCAGCTACAGATCCAAGATGAGTTGTAACCATTTTGTTGCCTTTTTTTAAGCAAGGATTCCATTCAGGATAACGGCAGGAAACCTCCTGGGACAGGTACAGAAGCATCAACCCCCCCCCCCTTCAAAATCCTGTTTGCAATCATTTTAGTAGTCAGGCTGCTGCAAAGAAAGAACAGGCTAAAAGGGAGTTAAGATGTGAAATTACTGCAGTCTTGAAAAAGAGGTTTAATAAGCTATACTTCATATGAATGTGCTCAACATTCAAGTGCATGAAGAGCAAGTTTCATACCATCTCCATTCTATTCATAAAACTACCTCCAAAATCTCCAAACCTTTATTTCCATAGAGCCCTTCCTAGCTGAAAAGGCAAGCTAAACCCTTGCTTCAGCACTGCCCAGAAGGTCACAGTGATTGGGGGCTCCTGGCCTCACTACATGCTGTACACACAGCAAGTGACAGTCCTCCATCACATGCTTGCTGGTGCAGACAAAGCAAATCTGCTTCTTGGCATTCAGAGCCCTTCACAAATGCCAAAGGACAGCAGCTGAATGGTTTCATGGGTAGTTCTCATCACTGCCTTCCTGATTCACTATGAAAGACACAAAACGCACATTCTGCCTCCCCTAACCTGCCAAAAGTGGCACTTCATCCTCACAAAGCAAGACTGATTTTCCCAACTTTTAATGAAAGCTCCCAAAACCCCACTGAAGGCACAGTTCAAAACAGGCCTACTTCACTGCAAGCCTTCAGAGTAGCAGAACAATGTTTTCCAGTAGCATTTGGATATCAGAATTTGCTACCACAGGTTAAGTAACAGGAAGATGAACAAAAGACAGAGACCCACACATGATTAGAAGTCAAGAGAACAGGCCTTATGAGGAGAGGCTGAGAGGCATGGGACTCTTCAGCCTGGAGAAGCGAAGACTCAGGAGTGACTTGGTGGCAGCCTGTAAGTATAGGGGTGCGTGCATCAGGAACTCAGAGAACATCTGTTTACCAGGGCACCCTGAGGGAAGACAATGTCCAATGGTCACAAACTGCTGGAAGACCATTTCAGACTGAAAGAAAACTTCTTTACCATCTGAATCTCCAGAGTATGGAATAGACTCCCTCAGAAGTGGTGCAAGCACCTATTCTGGATACCTTTAACAAATGTTTGGATGATTATCTTGCTGGGATCATCTGACCCCAACTGACTAAAGGTAAGCATGTTTTCTCTTCTAGGTTGGCAGATCTCCTCTGGCAGGCTTTAAACTAGGCTCGTTGGGGGAAGGGGATGGCGTGGGTGGAGGAAGCCTCAGACAAACAAGCCAAGCATTGCCTGCAGGAGCAGCCCAGCCTAAACTGATGACAAGCGAAACAGGTAATCAGGTAAGTGACATGGGCCTGGGTACCACTGGGATTAGGGGAGCGGCCCATTCATCTTCAGGAGGCCTCAAAAGCCTCTATACTAATGATCGCAGCATGGGGAACAAGCAGGAGGAACTAGTCCTCCTGCTAGCCAGCACCAACCCAGACATAGTGGGGCTCACCGAAACGTGGTGGGACCCAAAGCATGACTGGGCAGTGAACATCAAGGGCTACAGGCTCTCCAGGAAAGATAGGACAGGCAGGAAGGGTGGGGGTGTGGCGCTCTATGTCAAGGAGCAACACACATCTACAGTGAGTAACACTGGGTCAGAGGAGGAGCAAACGGAAGTGCTCTGGGTTAGAATACAAGGGGGTCAGGGAGAAAGGGACTTAACGGTGGGGGTCTACTACGGACCTCCCAACCAAGGAGAAGATCGAGACCAGGAATTCTTAAGTCAGCTCATGGAGATAGTTAGGTCCAAGGATGTGGTCGTCATGGGTGACCTAAAAACTTTCCAGACATCTGCTGGGAGGAGCAGACAGCCAGGTCTGACCGTTCACGCAGGTTCTTAACTGACATACAGGACCTCCATCTAACCCAGGAGGTACACAGCCCCACCAGGGAAGACACGTTGTTGGATTTGGTCCTGGCCACAGGCGATGACCTGGTACGGGGTCTGCAGGTGCTCCATCACCTGGGCAATCGCGATCATCGTCTGCTGGAATTCACCATCCAGTGCAAGGTGGTGTAAGCCTCCAGCAAGGCAGCAGCCCTCAACTTCCGGAGGGCGGACTTTAACGAGGTGAGAAAACTAGTGGGGGAAGCACTGAGGTCCCAGAGCAGGAGGGAGTTGAGTGACCAGGAGGAATGGTCGTTCCTTAAGGATATGATCCTTCAAGCTCAAAGGAAAGTAATCCCTACATGAGTCAAAGGGGGAAAGAGGGCACAAAGGCCCCCATGGCTCACCAAAAGCATCCGGGAACGTCTCCAAACAAGAAAGGATGCGTACACCCGTTGGAAGGGAGGGGCCATCACGAGACAGGGCTATACCTCGGTAGCTCAGGAATGTAGGGGGGGCGGTCAAGAAGGCCACGGTAGAAATGGAGCTCGGACTAGCGATCCAGATCAAAGACAACAAGAAGTCCTTTTTCAAACGCATAGGGGGGGCAAAAGAAGGTGCCAGGTAACATGGGGCCTCTGCAGGACACACTAGGAAATTTGGTCATCTCACCTGACAGTAAAGCTGACATATTCAACAATTTCTTTGCCTCCATATTTCTGAGGAGGGACTCGGATATCTCCCCCGCTGGCACCCCTGAGGGCCTTGTGGGTGGCACACCCAGGCCTAGGGTTAATGAGGACCTTGTCAGGGAGCTTCTGGAGGGACTAGATGCATTTAAATCCACAGGTCCTGATGATCTCCACCCCAGAGTGCCGAAGGAACTAGCAGGGGTCATTGTGGGACCTCTGGCACAGCTCTATGAGCACTCATGGTGCTCGGGCAATGTGCCGGAGGACTGGAAAAGGGCCAATGTGGTTCCCATCTTCAAAAAAAGGGAAGAAGGAGGACCCAGGAAACTATAGGCCCCTGAGTCTTACCTCCGTCCTGGGGAAGCTTTTCGAAAGAATTATCCTGACATGTCCAGGAAGGGCCAGCAGAGAAGGTTATGCTCAGGGGCAGCCAGCATGGGTTCATTAGGGGCAGGTCTTGTCAAACCAACCTCGTGGCCTTATATGACCAGGTCACCAAGTCCTTGGACGCAGGTGTCGCAGTGGATATAGTCTTTCTGGACTTCAGGAAGGCCTTCGACATGGTCTCTCACCCCATTCTCAGTAAGAAACTAGGAGACAGTAGTGTTGATACCTACACGGTCAGATGGGTCACTAACTGGGTGGAGGGCCGCATCCAGAGGGTGGTAGTGGACAGGTCTTATTCGACCTGAAGGGATGTGGGTTCCCCAGGGCTCGGTCCTCAGGCCCGCACTATTCAACATCTTCATCAGTGACTTGGGCGAGGGGGTAGAAAGCACCCTGTTCAAATTCACAGATGACACTAAGATGTGGGGTGAAGTGGGTATGCTAGTAGGAAGGAACAGGCTGCAAGCAGATCTAGACAGGTTACAGGAGTGGGCTGATGAGAACAGGATGGGGTTCAGCACTAACAAGTGCAGGGTAATGCACCTGGGGAGGAGGAACCAG